CTGCTGTCAGAAGGCCATTGTGTACCTCTGCCGGCACTTCTGCCTGTTCTAGATTTCTCTTTTCCCATATACTCTTTCTTTTGTGGTTAGAAATATTTTTTTCATGAAAAAATTTACTACTTTGAACGCATTGTAGACTATGAATTTAGGGGACTGTTGTTTAATAACTGTTACAATTGTGCGTCAGCATAAAAGAAAAGTTCTAAGGGTGGATGTGAAGATTATCTGTGGGTAAATGAGCCCAACTGGTTTTTACAACAGCCTTTCTGTTGTTTATTCTGACTTCTGTTTTTCATGCTTCTGCATCTTTGCCCCGCTCTGAGCTGTTCCTGTTGTGTATGAAAGTGACCTCTAGGGAGTAAACCCTTGCACGGGGTATGTTCCAGTCATTAGAGTCTGGTGAACACAGGCAGATCGCAACTGCTCTGTGACTCAGTGTGTTCACCTGTAAAATGACAAGGCTGTACTAGATGATCTCCAAAGTCCATAGAGGCTGAAAGAATAGTTCAACAAAGAAAAGTTTAAAATCTCGGAAGACCAGAGTGTGCGGAGGATTGAGTGGCCACTTGGGGTTGAGATCGTCATGGGGATCTTTCCAGAGGATGAGGTCAGCTTTAAAAAGGACAGATGGTAGACTGGTGGGGAAGTGTGTCTTGAGAAAGCTCAAGGCCTCTTCAGAGGAGACCAGTTATTGTGGTAAAGTATACATAACATTAAATTTACCATTCTATTTTTTAAGTGTACAATTGAGTGACGTTGAGCATATTCACACTGTTGTGTAACCATCACACTACCCATTTCTAGAACTTTTTCATGTCAGACCGAAACTCTGTGCCCATTAAATACTAACTCCCCATTCCCTGCTTCGCCAACCGCAGGTAACCACATCTGGGATCAGCAGTCCACTTTCTTTCTCTAGGAATTCGACTAGTCTAGACACCTCATATAAGGGCAATCATACAGTATTTGTCCTTTTGTGTCTGGCTTATTTCATATGGCACATGTCTTTAAGATTCATTCCTGTTGTGGCATGTGTCAGAATTTCCTTCCTTTCTAAGGCTGAGTAGTAGTCCATTTATGCATCTACCATGTCTCATCCATTCATCTTTTGGTGGAGGTTTGGGTTGTTGCCACCTCTTGGTATTGTAAACACTGCAGGTATGAACATGTGCATACAAGTATCTGTTTGAGTCTCTGTTTTCATTTCTTTTGGGCACACACCCAGAAGTTGAATTGCTGGATCATGTGATAACTCTATGTTTAACTTTTTGAAGAACTGCCAAACTGTTTTCCACAGTGGCCGTACCATTTTACATTCCCACCAGCATTGCAGGAGGGTTCCAGTTTCTCCAAGGAGGAAGAGTAGTTGAATATGCGCATTATGAACCAGTTTGACTGGAGCCCGTCTTTCTCATGAGGCAGTGGCAAGACCTACAATTAGGACAGTAGATTGAGGCCATAGTATGGAGGGTCTTGAAGGCCTGGCCATGGTATTAGTACTTTATTCTCTAGACTGTAAGAAGCTGGTGAGGGAAGAGCAGGATTAGAATGGTGCTGTAGAAAGGTGAAGGGCCCAAGGATACCCTTTGCAGGATGGATTGGGCCCTGGAAGTGGGACATGGGTTGGCAGAGAATTGTAGCTATCCTGGTGAGAGACCTGACCTGTGTGGGAAGGTAGGAAAGGCACGGATGACAGCGGAGACACTTCTGGGATCAGCAGGCAGCACTGACCACAACCTGTGGACACCCATATTGAGGGAGGGTAAGTAAGGGTGTGAGGGTAACGGGCACCTGGGTGGCTCGGTTGGGGGACTGCCTTCGGCTCAGGTCATGATCCTGGAGTCCCGGGATCGAGTCCTGCATCGGTCTCCCTGCTCGGCGGGGAGTCTGCTTCTCCCTCTGACCCTCTTCCCTCTCGTGCTCTCTCTCATTCTCTCTCTCTCTTTCAAATAAATAAATAAAATCTTTAAAAAAATCTTTAAAAAAAAAAGGAGCATGAGGGTAAGGAGTGGTACCTCCTTGACATCTGGCATCTTGATTTCTGAGGTCCTATGTTGATGACAAGATGTGAAGAGGGGGCCTATGTCTGGTTAGTTCCTCACCTGCTGAAGGAACAGACATTTGCAGCAGACCATGGAGCTATATCTTGGATGCCTGGGGGTGTCCCCACCTAGTGGGTCATCCTACATACAGCCTGGTCCCCTTGAGTAGCATAAGATGAGCACTAGGATATTTGCTCAGGAAGCGGAAACACCAAACTCAAAGTAAACTTAGTGTCAATGGAAAGAGGGCAGTTGGGGTATCTAACCCAAAATCTAAGCTAGCGCCAAAGTTTTTATTTTGATCTTTACTTTACATAATGCCTAAAGATGATGCTATCCTACGCAAATCCGCTTTGCTTTGCATTTGCTGGTGTGCATGCCAGCTCATTGGCTGAAAGGCCATTTCTGTCTCGGAATCCTTCTGCCTGCCCCCTTTCTCTCAGGCTCTTTGTGTTTCTACCACTGAAGATTTCCAGGAGGCCCGGGGCTCCACTGAGGAGTTGTCCTTTGTGTTACAAGCGGACTGAGAGTGCCAGTGTGCAGGTGTGGGAGGGTGTGCCTGCGGGTGTGGTGGGTGGATGGCTGGGTGTGGGTTTTAGTGGACACAGGTTGCAAGAGAGTTTTAAATAACTTATTTGAAATGGACTTAAGAGATCTAAATCAGATTGTAAGACATAATTAATTTAATTAGTTTGAGTATGGGGAAATATGCTAAAAAGTTGATGCAATAACTATTTTGAGGCATGGGATGTGGAAGACAGAAAGCAGCTGAAACTGTTGTGTGCACGCTCGGCCTGGGTGCGCTGGCCTCCACATGAAGCGGTGCCACGCCTGGGGGCCACGGCCACAGCTGCTGCCTGTCGGGAGGCAGCTCCTCTGACGTACCTATGAGGATCACTGTCGTGAGAATTCTCACATTTCCGGGCTTCTCTCTAAGTAGATGCCCATCTCCTCAGATGGGTTCGTGTATCTCCCTACCTGTATTTTCAAATCTGTGGATTCAGATTTTTAAAAGTTAATGATTCTTATCCTGGTGCCGAGAAAGAAAATGACGCAGTTAAAAAACTCTCTTCAGCCCACGTACATTTTTATCTGCACATTAAGCTGTCAGCAGCCTTTCCCACATTGACGGCTGTGTGGAGAAGGTGTGCTTGCTGACACCAGATACCAGGAGCTTGACGAGGCGCAGCCACTGACCCCTGGCGGGCCCCTCCCAGCTGTGCGGCCTCTGTTACCAAAAGCGACCCCTTTCTCACTCGCCCAGCCTTATTTTAACCCTGGAAGTTGGTGGTTTCCCCAGCTGCTGCAGACAGCGCTAGAGGTTGCTGAGAGCCTGTTTACTCAGCGAGTACTGATTGCCCGAAAGAATGAACAGACTTTGAAGGGAACCACTTCACATTTTCAAAGAAGTCCTTTGAGCGTCCTAAGACATGAACCTTCTTCTTTCTTCCATGAATGGCCCCTGCAGGGACTCTTAAGTTCTGTTCCAACGTGAGCTCAGCAAAACCTCTCTCGGCTTCCGTGGCTCTGAGGGCCGTTGAGCAGTATACCCTGTTACCCAAGGAATCGATGGAGGCTTCAGAAGGGCACTCAGGCCTTGTCACTGTGTGCCCGGGTCCTTAAATCACCCGTGCTGGCCGCCAGCAGATTGTGCAGCTTGATTCTCGAGGCAGGCCCTTGGGACAGCTGTGAGAAATCAGACTACCTGAAAATCCACAGGACCAGACTCGTCTCTGGGGCTCCTGAAGGAGATCCAGTCTTTGAAAAGGATCAAAGAGGCGGTAAAGCAGGCTGTGAGCATGAAAAGCCCCTGTACGGCAGAGAGTGGAGCAGAGAACCTGGCCGTGTTTGTGAAGAAGACCTGTAGTGCCCACAAAGGCAGAGGGAGTGAGGAAGAAAGGAGGGTGGTGTGTCAGAGGCCTGAGAACTGTAACTCCCGTGGGCAGGCACTTCCCTGGAGACGAACTTTTGAAGCTACTCCAAGACTGGAAAGTGCATGCCAGCTAACGTGGGGATTGGGAGGAGGGAGGAGAGCTGCAATAGAAAACATGGCAAGTCAGAAGTAAAAGATGAAGGAGCTTGTCTGGCAATTTGTTGGATTCTTACAGGAGTCTTTTTCTGACTGTAGAAAAAAACACCCACAGGCCGTGGAACCTAAGCATCAGGAATCGTTTGCTTATTTGATAGAAAAATTCTGTCAGGTCAAGCTCATCTTGAGAGTTGACGGGTGGCGACTGTGGCATTTCAGTACCAGTGACGTGGGGTAGAGCACAGTTTGGAGGGCCTTAAATAGATATCCCAGGTAGTCTGGCTCAGGAGCACTGAGCTGTGATGCTTCTCAGAAGTAGGAAGGATGATATGGAATTAAATAAGATGTGTGCCTACCACTGTGCTGGGTATTTTATGTGTTGTGTGCTTTAACGCTTCCAGAAGTTTCCAGAGGGCCACTCTGAAGTGCTCCGAATAGATCGCTATGGTCAGTCCATCTGAAGTGGTATAATTTCTAAGAGATAATTTTAACATTCTTTTACAATTATATAAATAGAATAACTATGGTATTTATCCAATCATATTGCAGAAAGAGTGGATAATAGTGAAAAGAAAAAAATGCACAACCCCACTCCACATCACAGCCTATCTTATTTTGGCATGTTTCCTTACTGTCCTTTTTTGAATGCCTCTGTATACTATAAATACAGTTTTGTATCCAACATCACAAATTTCTTTCTGTGTTTATAGGAAGTCTTCAAAACTATGATTCTTAAATTGATGGTATTTTGATTTCTTTGGGGATTTTAAATATGGGAGCATTTTGGGTTTTCTAATATTTATTACATGTAGAGATTTAATCTTAATTTAATGTTTTAAAAGGCATTTTGTGCTAGATCTCAGCTATAAAAAAATATACTCAGCAGCCAGGGTTAATTTTTAACACTCTCTTTGTGTCTCCATTGACAGGGATCTACCGCACAGAAAAGGATAAAGGCACTCTGTATGAGCTTACGTTCAAAGGGGAGCAGAAGCACGAATTCAGACGACTCGTCTTGTTTCGACCGTTTGGCCCGATCATGAAAGTAAAACAAGAAAAGCTCAACATGGCCAACACGCTCATCAACATTATCGTGCCACTGGCGAAGCGGGTGGACAAGTTCCGGCAGTTCATGCAGAATTTCAGGTTTGTTTGTACATGTTTACCTTCCTCCGTGTGGCATGCGTTAAAATGCTGATATCATTTCCCGTCATCTCCCGCCTTTCCCCAGCCAAGTACAAAGGACCCTTTCTCTTCTTGTTCAACTGTTCTCTTCATGTAAAGTTTATCATTTACATTTATCTTTCCCTTAAGCAATTAGAAAACTGTCAGACAAGCAGATTTACCTTCAGAAGGGGAAATTCTGAGGGGTGGCTTTTCATCAGGACATGCAGAGATGGCCTAATGCCTGCTGTGTCCAGGTCTAGCTTGAGTTTAGGCTCAGGTTTGGGGACAGCACAGGCCACGCTGTCTCATCAACGGTGTGAGGCTTCTCAGACTCTCGAAGGTCAGGGCCACCATGGCCCATGGACTTGGCTGGAGGATGTGCACCCTCAGCTGCGGGAGGCCTTCCCTGGCTGTCCTGCTCCTGAGGTGGCTGGGACGGATTGAATCAGAATCCATTTTTTATTCTAACCTACATCTCCTCAGAGACTAAATTTAGAATTATACCAAGAAATTTCCAAGCACTTGCTTTTATAGCTACTCAAGAAGATTAAGCAGGGTTTTGTTCTCAGATGCAGTAATGTAGTTTTTACATATGTGTCTTTTTTTTTTTAAAGATTTTATTATTTGAGAGAGAGAGAGAATGAGAGAGAGAAAGCACATGAGAGGGGGGAGGGTCAGAGGGAGAAGCAGGGAGCCCGATGCGGGACTCGATCCAGGGACTCCGGGATCATGACCTGAGCCGCAGGCAGTTGCTTAACGAAATGAGCCACCCAGGCACCCTACATATGTGTCTTAAAGCTCTTTACTGTGCAGTGTTGGCTCTTGTAAACTATCATGGCTAACATTCATATATTGGTTCACCTATATTAGCTCACACACCTAGCCAGCTTACTGTAAAGATAGAAGTTATATGTGTCTAATTATAAATCTTGGAAGATCAAATTTATTTTTATTTTACAAAAATTTTTAAAGATTTTATTTGCTTATTTGAGAGAGGGAGTGAGCACGTGTGGGGGAGGGGCAGCGGCAGAGAGAGAAGCAGACTCCCCGCTGAGCAAGGAGTCCAGTGCGGGGCTCGATCCCAGGACCCTGGGATCATGACCTGAGCTGAAGGTGTACACTTAACTGACTGAGCCACCCAGGCTCCCCTCAAACTTATTTTCATTTTTATTTATTTATTTTTTTTAGAGAGAGAGAGAGTGGGGGGAGGGGCAGAGGGAGAGAGAATCTTAAGCAGGCTCCATGGAGCCCAATGTGGGGCTCCATCTCACGACCCTGAGATCATTCAAGAGTCAGGAGCTTAACCGAGTGAGCCACCCAGGTGCCCCTCAAACTTACTTTTAATCTTTTATCATTAAATTCATATTATAAAAAGCCAGTAATGCTCAGTATAAGGGTGTGGTTGATACTTCTCAAAATTCTAGATAATGCAGGCTTTTTAAAATTTTTACATTTGAAGGCTAACCTTTATCTAAATAAATTTTAGGGTCAAAATCCAATAGTCTTAAAAGACACCTTTGGAGGTCACCTGGTCTAATCCTCCCTTAGTTCAGAATCCCTCCAGAGCATCCCTGACATTCGTTCTCTACGCAATGTGTGTGTGTGTGTGTGTGTGTGTGTGTACATGAGCATGCATGCCAGGTAACTAACTGCCTCCTTCGCTAGGCAAGCTGCTCTGTTGTTGAGCAGCTCCGGATAGAAAGCTTGCTATTATTTGGACCTGCAGTCTGCCTCCCTGTGATTTCAACCCAGTGGGTCTAGTTCTAGCCTCTGAGGAAATGACTGAACAAATCCATTTCCTCTTAGACATCAGAGCCTTTCAGATCTTTAAAGACAGCTGTCACAATGCCCATTGTCTTTCTTTTCCAGGTTCAGCAGTTGTGCCTTCAGTTGTGACACCATGCAGGGGAGGGTGGGCTGATCTTGTCATCTGCTCCCAATCTGTAGAGGCCCTGTGGGCACCGTCCCCTGGCTCCGGTAGTGAAGTGTCTATGGACCTTTGGCTTCTGGCAAGCCTTCCTTTGGTGTTTCTGTGTCCCCTGCCTTCTCTTTGGGATGTCAGAGGGCTGCTGGTTGATTCAGCATGATTTCTCGAGAAGGACTAAACCTGTGGTTGGCACTAGGCATTACGTCAAATCATTGCTTCCCGCGGCTGGTGTGGCCGGTTCTAGGACTTGTTTCCAGTAAATTTCTCTGGCCCGGAAGCTGCCTAGAGTGCGCCGGATGAAGGGCCCTGAGATTAGCGTCAGGCCGGCGTGAAGGCCCGCCGCGGGGCGTGCTGGGCGCGGCGGGGTAGTGCTCCCGCTAAAGCAGCGCCGCTCGGTTTTCTGTATAGGCACCGGGCCCAGAGCCGCAGGATTCTCTTGGTTATACAGGACTGGCTCTTGCCTTAGTGTCGTGAGGATTGCAAATATTTAAGGATAGGACTAAAACTAGAAGGGAAATATTGTTGAAACAGATAAAACGACTACCTTGCCAGTCTCCAAAATTGAGATAGTGAAATGAAATGCAATTCTAGGTCATGTTTTTAAAACAAATAAAATGCCCGCTGTGGCACAGAGGCGGGAGAGGAGGTGGGTGGGAAGGCTTACGACTTGGGTAGGATATTTCGAAGGCCTGTGTGTGCCAGACACCTGACCAGACGTCGGGGTAAGGAGGTGAGTTCCAGAGGTGGTGCCTACATTCCCGTGGCCTAGAAGCCACACGAAAGGAGCTCGGAGCTGCCAGAGAAACAGAGACAAGGGGCAGTGGGCCGCAAGAAGGGCTTCCCAGCACAGAGGAAGCCGAGTGGGGAGTTTGCTCTGTACTCTAGGGGTTTCTGAGTGTGTTGGGTCTCTGAAAACAATGAGATAAGAAAGGGTACTCAAACCTTAGAGTATTTAATTCTGTGTCAGAACTTAGTATAGGTGGCATTTCAAATCAGCCAGCAGAGAATGGATTGTTCAGTGTATGGCTTTAGGACAACTAATCAAACATAGCAGAAAATATTTAATTCTTACTGCATACCAAAACTCTAGAGTAAACACTGGTCAGTTAAATATTTAAATAGAATTAATACAAACATTATAGTATTGGGAAAAAACATAAGGAGCTATTTATTAAATATTTGACGGTGTCTTTATGAAATCCTTTCTTTTTTTTTTTTTTTTAAGAACCAAAGAGTAAATGTTGCTTCTATTTTATTAGGTATTAGACCCGTTATGAAATCCTTTCTATCATAAGATTAGCAGATATTAACTCTGGCTGGAACTGAAGATGGCATTATGAGTGACTTTTGTTTTCTTCTTTTGAATTCTGTTTTGTAAATTTTTATGTAGTTACCATATGTTTTTTAAAAAATTCAACAAAAGATTTTTTTGGCTGTTATAATTTAAACATGGATTTTTAGTTTGTAAAAGTGGTATATAGCTATTATAAGATATTTAAATAATATAGAACACAAGGAATGAATTATTTAAAAATCCACTCCTCCCAAATTAACCATTTTTAACATTAATTGAACTCTATTGTAGGTATTTTCTTTGGATATATGCAGATAGAAGAATAACTTGCTAGCTAGAAATAATTTAATACAGCCTGAGATGTACTGTATATTCTGTTTTTAATTAAAGAATTACTTTTTGCCTAACTCAGTTTATAGAAGTGAATCCAAAGTATAAATTCAGAATCTGAAGTATAATCTGAAGAAATTGCTGATCTTTAATAAAATGTTTCTCTGCTATAAGAGGTATTATTAGCTCTGAAGAGACCCCTCTAAAATTATCTTTTTTTTTTTAGAGAGAGAGAGTGGGGGAAAGGGCAGAAGAAGAGTGAGAGAGAGAATCTTAAGCAGGCTCCACGCCCTTCATGGAGCCCCATCTGGGTATTGAGCTCACCACCTTGAGATCATGAACTGAGCCTAAGCCAAGAGTTGGACGCTTAACCAACTGAGCCACCCAGGTGCTGCTGAGATCCCTCTAAAATTTAAAAAAGAAAAAAAAAAAAGATTTTGCACAACAGAAAAGATTGGAATTATTATGTATTTTTTGCTGCATATTCTCAATTTAGACTGGAATGACTGAAAAATCACCTAAAGAGGAGGAAATCAGCACAGTCATAGTTTCTCCCTCTCCTACATCCCCTCTTCCAGTGCGCTGGCCGTCTATTATTTTTACCTTGTCAGGGGTTGCAGCCTTTGTGTTCTGTTTTGTAGCCACAGAGCCTGTGTGTAAGTGGATTTCACGGACCCATCAGCAGCCCTCTGACAACAGTGGCTTCAGTCCTGAGGTCTTGGTTGGCTAGATTTCGTGGGTGAGAAATTTTTTCAGGAAATGTCCTATGTGCTAAGAGTGGAATGTCTACTTATGGTCATTTTAATTTAAAGATAACTTGGTTGGGCTTAAAATTCTTAGGACACAGTTTCTTTCCTCGGAAGCTTGTAGACATTCTTCTGGCATCTGATGATCCCACGGAGAAATGTTAGGACAACTTTATTTCGCTTCTCCTGAGAATGACTTACTTTTGCCTGAGTGCCTGAAGAATTCCTTCTTGAATCTTGAATCATAATGGCTTCATGAGGATATGTCTCAGCAGTGTCTTGTTCTTGCTCAGATTTTCCTGTACTTAATCGAGTTTTCTTGTTTTGTGGATTCTTTCATGTCAGGAAAATTTTTCGGTGTTTTAATTTTGTATTAGCTTCTCTTTCTTAATGCCTTAGTCTTTTAGCTGCTTTCACATAAGCCTTTCCTTGAGATGAGCAATTTGATTTTCAGATGCATCTATTCTGTCCCTTGCTATGCTTAATTTATTACTTTTGTGTGTTTGGGCTGCCACCTTATTTTCTCAGCACAGAATGTGCCTTTTAATCTGTTGTTTTTATCATTTCTTCTTTGAACTTTCTTTATTAAATTCATATTTTTTTAAGAAAGTGTGAAATGTGTAAGATATTTTCTTCTGTTTGAATTGTATTTTCTTTCAGACTAGGTTTTTCATTTACTTTT